TATTTAATATAGGTCTCTTCATATACTATCTACACTGCACACAATATGATCTTGACAGTGGGATTCTACCGTGTGTGTGAGATTTGAGATAGCTGTTATATGTTAGTAGGGTGACTTTGAACATGAATTGACCATTTCTGTTAGACCTAAACTTGATTTTACCCCTGCATGATTAATGTATGGTTGAAAAAAGATAATTCCAAGGGGCTCAATATCTTAATGCTACTTTTCGAAGCCTACTTGACTCGAATGATTAAGCCTGCAGGGTTTCTCATAACCTGGTACTTGTGGTCAGTTGACTTGGGCTAATTGGCCTAAAGCTCGTTACAGGGGTCATGCTAATCGCTTAATGGAAGGTGGCCTGATCAAATCAAACACTGAATTGGTCTCTTTGCTTGGGTCTGCTGCAAGATTATGTCATCAACTGTGCTGCATTAAAGATCAACAATCCTTCATTGTTCATAAGCCATTTTCATTGAAAACATCAAAGCTATCAAATCAAACACTGAATTGGTTTCTTCGCTTGGATCTGCTGCAAGATTGTGTCGTCAACTGTGCTGCATTAAAGATCAAGGAAGAGTTTGAAGAATGAGAAGTTATTGGGAAAGATCTACAAGAGATAAACTGCGTAAAGAGTCGGGATTGGAGTTTGTGTGCTTATTACAAGAGGACTGTTTTACAAAGAAGAGTCAGGATTGGTGTTGGTGTGCACATTCCAGGAGAGCTGCTTCATACTTCAGACAGGAGATCAGAAAGCTTGTATTGTTAACTTTACTAGTAGTCTGTAAGTTATATTGACAGTTTATAGTGGATCTTTGACTGGCAAAGTGCCTGGAGTTTTTCCCACGTTGGGTTTTTCCGCGAACAATTCTGATGCTGTTTATTGCTTTATTTACTACTTTGACATTACTGCGGTATTTCAACATATGACAAATTGAATTGGTTGACTAATCATTAGATATAATTAATTTGTGACTTGTTGCGTGTTAATTAAGTAGTAATTCCGCATTTACACCTAATTACTCTCCCTTAGGTGTAGTAGGGTCGAATCTTGCGTTTCTCACAAACAAAAATTCAAGTTTGGAGTGTTTGACAAGTGTATTTTATACATTTATTTAGACTTTTTAAATTAAATTATTTGTTAGATATTTTAATGAATTATGGCTTAATTTTATGTATATTGTTCTTTTTAGGTAAAGATCGATGAAAATGACAGAACTGGAGAAAATGATGAAAAAGGGTTCAATTGCAAGAGACCCAAAGTTTGAGGACTAAAGTGTAAATACTCAAAAATTGTGTTGAATTTCACGGTGAAGATTCGAGAGTGATAGAATTGGAGAAAGATGACAAAACTGGAGAAAATGATGAGAAAAAAGTTAAATAGGTGACATATAGTCAAAGTATTTTCACAACTCAATTTATAGCCGAACAAGTTATACTCTAGATTTTCAACTTCCGATGGAAACCAATGTTTCTCATAGTAAACATTCGAATTGAAAAAATAATATTTATAAAAGCCTATTGAGTTATTGTTTCAACGCACTTTGACTTGTCTCAATCGGATATCGAGAGAGAAAGATATGACAACAATACTGATAATCTCTCATGACCATAACTAGAGGTATCAATCCGGGTGGTCCGGGCCGGGTCGACCCGCCAACATATGAGTCCGGTAACGGCCCGTGTGAAAAAAAACCTGTCTGCTACGGGTTCCGGGTCGATCCACAAATTTTGGACTACAATCCATACCCGCCCAATGAGCCATCCAGGTCGAGCCATGCGAGTCACGGGTCGTGCGGGTCGCGGTTTGTTCCGATTTGGCCCGTATTATTATATAAATAGAATTATAAAAATATAGAATTTTTTATATTTATAGCAAAAAATATTTTTTTGTTAAATGTAAAGAATTGAATAAAATGATAAATTCATATTTATATCAAGAAATGTTTACATAAAATTCAAATTTAATGTTACATAAATTATTTATAACTTTGTAAAGTTAAATTTAACTTAAACAAATAACAATATTTCTAATTACTATTATCAAATATTTATAACATAAGTACATTCCATCTAGATGTCACCTAATTTTATTATAATTTATAGTTTAAGTACATCCCAACTAAATTGGCACCTACTTAAATTTTAAGTCTTAACTATAATTTAGTATTAACTCTCCCCTCTTTTTTTTTTCAAATAAAAAAAAAAAAATTCACTGGCCAGCGGGTTAACCGCGAAACCCGCCGGTCACACCTCTTTGACCCATGAATCGCCCGCTCGGGTCACGGGTCGGCCCACGGTCCTGGATCGATCAGGGCCTATTTTCACAGGTCTGGTCGGTCTGTCCGTCTTGACACCTCTAACCATAGCCATACGCATGCATGATGTGTGCGCAAGGCCTTCTCGTAGAAGAACTGAGCCTAAAATGGCTTGCCCCATGTGTGCGCAAGTCGGATACCCATGTGCGTGCATGGGTGTTCTGAAGAGGAAAAATATGTTTCCTTATTTTGATCCGATTATGCATTGAATAATTTTCTAATCTCGTTTTAACTTGAGAAGGCCGTCCAAGAGAAGTTTAGCACGAACCAAGATGTGATTTAACACAAGAATTGAAGTTTTCAAGTTCTTCCCTCTATCCTTCAATTCGGGTGTTGTTTCAATACTTCTTGTGTAAATTGTATTAACATATGCTAGGCTAAATCTTTTATGTGTATTTGGTGACGATCCGGGCCATTGGCTATGTATTTCTAAAGAATAAGTAGTTTGGTGATTTCTTGTGTTCTTAATTAATTGTGTATGATTATTGTGTTATTTAATTGATTGGTTTTCAATTAGATAATTCATTGCTTGTTATAGTGTTGAGAGACTCACAATAGGTTTAGAACATTACACAATTAGCATACGTGTGTGATTGGATGCATTTCTTTGCATATCTTAGAAATAACATTTGTGGCGTGTGCAATCTTAGTTGATAATCGTGTGATTGTATGCATTTCTTTGCATATAATTTCGGACTAGGAATAGTGTCAGGTCGTTATTAGAATATGTTTGATCTATCTTGGAAAAAAAAGTTAGACAATATACAATTATTGATTGTGACGAGTACTTGAACACACTAAACTACGTAATTTAAGAGTTGGATATAGATACCAATATGTGGATTTTGAAATCCAATACACGCCTCTTATAATTTTATAAAAATCATACTTTTACACATTTCATAGCTTAAGTCAGGATAATTACAACAACTAAAATTCTTTTGTCACTAACATCGAATTTGATAGAAACTAGTGCATTATGATTAAAAATAAAGTTTGATCTTTAGAAAAACGAAAGCCCTATTTGAGCCCCATTGTTTGAGAAAAATATGTTTTGGAATTGTGATTTTTTGAGAATGTGCGGTTAAAAAATAGAGAAAAATTTTGGGCTTATGTGTAAAGTTATTTTATGAAAGAATGTGTGATTGAAAATGATTTTTTAAAAAATGAATTAAATTTTGTAAAAAATGAAGCTCAAACAAAGATGAAATTTCAAACTCTTGCTTGAGCCACATTTTTAGTGTAGAATACATTTTAGAATAATAGATTGATGGATAATGTGTTGTTAAAAATGAAAAAAAAGTTTTATGATTGCGTATTATTTTATTGAAAATGTGGTTGAAAAAAATGGGAATCAAACAATGGCTTAAAGAGTGATATTTTTGTGGAATTAACGTGTTGGGCCTCGTTTGAGCTCCATAAAATTTTTATTCTCATTTTTCTGCTTATTTTCAATCACATTTTTCAATAAAATAATATTTTCTATCACATCTATAATTTTTCCTTCTTTTTCAACCACACATTCTCTATCAATCTACTATTTCAAAATATATTCTTCCAAAATAACGTGGCTCAAACATACTCTTAATATGCCATTGTTTGATGGCCTTTTTTTTTTTTTGAAAAATATGGTTTTGAATAGTGAATTTTTGGAGAATGTGTAATTAAAAAATAGAAAATAATTTTGAATTTACGTATAAAATATTTTTTGAAAATGAGCTAATGAAAAAAGAATTATGAAAGATGGATAGATATGCTTGTACAGGCCGTGCGACTTCATGTTTCATATAAATCAAAAGAAGAAGGCGCAAAAGTTTCAATCATGCTACACTACCATCTTGGTTGACAGTTTGGTTGACATTCTCTAATAAAAA